TTCGTGCACAGTGAGTTACAGGCATTTAAAGGCAAGCAATGCCACTTGCGTTTCTTTTGGAAGCCACTGTATAATTTTCATGAAATTGAAGGATAACAGCTATCATACTTTGGAATTTTGAGTTTATCGTGATATTAAAGAGCGTGAATTAGATTGATAAAGTGACCATCTTTTCTTTTCATAGTTAGAGGAAGGAATCCATTATTCTCATTTAAAAGGATGGCAGCATCTGGAGCTCTGTATATATCACAATATTCATTATTTTTACATTTTCTTATATCTAGTGAATAGCGGCACATCTGCATATGATTCTCAATCTACTCCTACAATATTAAAGGCTTAGGATCATTGAATAGATGTCTTTTCTGGTCGACATATTCCACTATCACAGGTTTCTCATGTATGTCATCCCTTTTCCATATATCATGTAGTTTTTTTCCCAAATATTCAAAATTCTATCATGCTAACTCTTCATCTACTACTTTCCCTTGACTATTTAGATGTGATCTGAATTCCTTCACAGGTAAAGTGATATTAGCAAGTTTTGCAGACAAAGAAGCCATACTACGTTCGACCAGATTATATATACTTTGACCTAGAGCATGAGTACAAATTATCAAGTAGTTCAGATCAAGAGCACAGAAAAGGTGAGCATATTGAATAATATTTTTCATATGTTTCAGATTTTTATCAAGTCCACCATCAACAAAAAGAATCCAAATAGGTCTAACTTTACCTTTTTTCTTTAGGATAGTGGAAAACTCTTCATTTGAAACAATACTTTCTAAATCTACTATATGGGTTGTTAATGAAATTCTAATGAAATATTCTGACCTAATGAATATGGAAAGCTGACCAGTACAAAGGGTATTACTCGAATCAGCCGGATTAATGACTAAATAAATAGAAGGTATGAGTTTCATTTTTGAACCAGTTGGAAAATCGTGATCTTTGACAGTTACTGTTTCATTAACTGACTGGATTGTTTTGAATATGCGACCAACTACGGGAATGCCTAATCTGATCGTTGTCTTATCATCCTAAGAGATGATAATTTCCTTCTCAGCAAAAACTTCAGCAAATACACTTGTGACTTTAACGGAAGCTAGACAGTAATATTTATTGATATGAGGTTTCATTTCTATTTGTGATACAAAGGCGAGACCAATCTTTGTTAGATGATGATGACGACGTGCAGCAAAGGTGCATTAATTTCAGGGTTGAAGATAAGTTGATAAGCATTGACAAGATAGATAAGTATTATATATTTTTTCTAGAGTTTCTTGTAAATGCTTTACAGTCTAACTTTTATGACCACTTTTCTTCGTTTAGCATGAGCAGCTTCAAAACTTAACGCTGTCATGAATTTTATTCCATAGATCTGGATCATTTATAGCCGCAGATGGTCTTCCTGAAGTATCATATTTTTCTACAATACCCTCTTCTAGCAATGTCTGTTTTTTGTTACTAGTCTTGATTAGGCTTCAGCATGACGTTTTAGCTTTGTTAACTGTGCATTTTGTAGCAGGGTGGACATACTTCATATTATCACATTTGTTGATCATTTTGCCGATCATTTGCCGATCATTTGCCGATCAT